TAAGAGCAACAACGAATTTACAATTTCAATGTGGCCATGTGAATAAGAGATACGTAGATACGTACGACCACATGTAACTTAGCAGTAAACAGCAGCAGCATCTGAAGAAGAACACGCTCAAGAAGAAGCATCGGACACGGCGGCTACACCTACAAATGTTTTAGCACTAAGCAACTTTTAGTTGGGCAGTGCAGCTGGAGGAATTTTATGGTCGCCACGTTGACGACAAAGGAAGCTCCGAAAAACTCTGGCCAAAAGTTATCGATGTTGCACTTTCGAGTGTCAGCTTACAGCCACCCACCAGCAATACAAACACAACTTTCAAACTTCTGCTTGCTTCTATTTGCGAAAAGATTACGAAACAGCGCTAAAAGCTAATGGCCTAACTGCCAGCTGGTCAGTGGACAGGGAGTAGGGAGCGTCAACCTTGAGCCCCAGCATTATGCACTTAACTGCAAAAGCATTTTTCTATGCCAAAGCATATGATAATAAAGCCAGTCCCTAAACCTGTTTTAGTCTCCACTCACATTCTGGGTTTTATCACTATTAATTGGCTTATAAATAACAATTATAAAAATATATATAAAATATTTAAAGACAGTTTATTACTTAAGTATTAAATATTAATTTGTAAAGTTAAGATATTTGAGTCAACTCTTTGGGTAAACGAACATTCATGCAGTGCATTGCCCAAATGCCATTAGAATTAGGCAGATACTCAAGCCTGTTGTGTATGCTGAGTCGTTTCATCGTCGTCTTTTTAAATGGTTATACACAATTGTGAGAGAGAAAAGGGTCAAAGTCAGTTATGCATTATGTATGAACTTTGAGGTAATATTTTAATATGATTCATGATGCAGTAGTGAGTATCCTCTTCCAATTAATTATTTACATAAGTCCAAAGCCACGTCTATGACAATTCACTATTTTGAACAAGTTTATGGAGGAGTGGTGCCTTGTTTTCAATCCGTTATCGGATTGTCGCACAATCGGCTGGCTATTTATTCATTAGAGCTCATTAGGTCATTGCTGGCGAAGTACAGCTACAGCAGCAACAACAACAAAGCCAACAGAGGCAATCAAATGTAATTAAGCGCGAGATTAACTCTAATTATAATGAATTAAACGCAACGTCACTTTGGCCATTAAGGCAGTTGAAGTATATATATATATATATATATATTTATATATATATATATATATATATATATATTTATATATAAGCATCAAAGGTGCAATTTACTATTAACAGGTTATCCAAAAGGCTTTAATCGAACGTCTCTGCGTATGTGTGTGCGTGTGAGATAAAGGCTCGATTAAGACCTGGGCCGTGCGCGACCAGCAACGCGGGCCCAATTCCATTTGCATAATCAATGCATATTTGGCGGCAGCCATAAATTAACAAATAGAATTTAATTGCATACTTTCGAGCGCAGTGGCAGTGCCACGAACAAATTAATAATTCATTAATGCGCATTAATTGTCGTGCTGCAGCAGCAGCAACAGCAGCAAAATCAAAAACCCGCAACAAATAGCTGCAAATAAATGCCATATGCTTATTGGCTCAATGGCTGACACCCATAACCAGACCCATATCCATTCCTGCCACGCCCCTACTTACTCATTTTAACCAACCTGTAATCCAGCCAAACGCTGGCAAATTAATTGCAGCCTTTGTTGAGTTGGCTAGCGGAAAAAAATTAAAATGAAAATAATGCTAAAAGATTTAAAGCAGCAAATTTATGCGAGCTGCGTTAATATTTATTGCAATTGATTTTTTGTCGGCCATGAAATTAATATACATTTTAAAGTGTGCGCATAATATATGTAAATAAATATTTCAACATCCCTTTTCTTTTTTTGTGTTTACCTGACTGCAACCTTTGCTGCGCTCTCAGATCAGAGATCTACTGCCGGCTCTTTGACTGCTTTTATACTTATTGATACAATTAATAATTATATAATAAATACAGTATTTCTGTTTTAAATGTAAGTAAGTCATATATATTTTTTATGTATATATACATTATACATATAAGTTAAGTAAAGAACTCAAATCAATTTTTCCTTTCGGTTAATTCACATACAATCTGTGTTAATATTGTTAATATTATTACAGAAGAATTATATATATTTTGAGTCACAGCGATCTATGCTGACCACAGTATGGCCCTAGTCTCGATTTTATGGGAAAAGTGCTTGAACAATATAATAATAAACTAAAAATTGTACTTGTTATATAATATATATTATATTATATTAATAATTTAAATTTAAATGTAGCCATATATTAAGTCAATTAATATGCACAATAAACATGAAGTCTATAAATGATGAAGGCATTTGACTTGCAACTCAAGGAATTGACCTTAAAAAAATTAATTACATTTGTAAAGTAAGCCAATTGCATGATAATAAAAACACTAGTTAACTTTAAAGAACTTGTCATTTGCAGAGGCTCTGTATTGTGTCTCTGTAAAGATATCTGTGCATAAGCCACCTTTTAAGCACGCCTGCCCACTTAACTGTGCACAAAACAAACGTGCGCTATGCGTGGCAGCATAAGAGTCACACATACACGCACACATATATTCACGCACACACAGATAGACTCTGGTGGAACGCGCTCCATGAATTCAATCAATTTTAATGCAATTTAAATTGCATTCCCTTGTGAAAACAGACAGTGTATGGCGTCTACACACACATACATACACACACCCAGTGGCGTGCACACAGAAATGCAGATAATATGCATACGCACACGCACACTCAGAGGGACAGTGAGACGTGTGCACATTATGCAGCGATCGCAATGCGTTAATTGGCGGGCAAGCCCCAATTGTCAGCACACACTGTGAGAGTAGAGGGCTTGGCAGAGAGGACAGAGGCCGCTGCTGTCTTGCGATGCCGACGTTTATATTGTTTCAACTGCCATTCACATTTATAGTTGGCACTCTATAGCCTTCTCGTTGGCTATGATTCGCCACGGTTGGGCACATCCTTTGCGCATCGCCTCACACTTGTGCAAGCAAACAGTACCAACTGTTGCACAGTCAAGAGCAATTGCTGCAGTCAAATAGATGCTCTCAGCAGTACGCAACAGTGAGAAGCTGCATATCCGCTTACAATCAGTCAATTTTCATCACAGCCTCTAGACTCGACTGCTTAATTGAGAAACTATAACATCAAGTTGCTAAATAGCCATGCAATGATCTTTCCGACATCTCATGCCGTTAACGAACAATAGAAACAAAACCAAAATAAATCATTTTCTAAAGGAACAACTACTGACAGGAAACTGCGTTAAATATTAAATTTTGAAATTCATTTATATAGCTAAGTAAATAATGCATTTTTAGAGGCTTACAGCTTTAAGTTGGTAATTTTGTTTGGTTTAACAAAACATTTGTATAATTCTACACGACAGTGTAGAATACATTTATTAATTACTGAAATGTTGTGATCAAATCATTCCTCAAGCTGATTGTGCACTTAGTTTATTTTATCGCAAATATATTTAAAATAAAAGATAAGTAATAAATATAATAAATAGAATTGTCGCATATCAAGTAAGGATGATCTTCTAAATAGACGACGACCCTCCGAAATCACATGGAACTCGAAATACGAAATACATTTCTTGGCTTTATTATAATTTAAACTCCTTAAAAACATTGAATACTCTTTTTAGCAAAAATATATTACGTTAAATTATGTTATCTTATTACATTACTATATAAATAAAGCATATCAAATATATAATTTCAGCATTTCTGTTTTATATTTTTAATTGAAAACAAAACTTAATTATTAATTAAAAGTCGAATAGCTACTTAAATAAATTTTTGATTACAACCTGTAGACAAGTTTAATCCATTATGTGGCCAATTATACACAGAATAATATTGTAAGTCCGCAGTGAGGATAGAAGTACAAGAAAAAAACGGCTTATAACTAATATTAAATGGAAATGCTGATTATCGCATTTGGTTAGTCTGTAGATGTTAATGTATTTTTTGCTCATTTTATTTTATTTTTTTTTTTTTGCTTTTGCAATCCCTTTTAATGTTTGCGCAATCCCTTTTAATGCGCACAATTAATTTCGTTATGCTTTGTCGCCTTTGACATGTTACCGGTTATCTCTCAACACACACACACACACATACACACACACACACACACACGCACACACAGAGAGAGCAAAGCGCATAGTGTAGCAATTTGCTAAAATGCCGGGGCTTAGAACATAATGCCAAATCAGGGTGGTCCTCAAACCTGGGCGGATGTGCGCATCGAATAATCATTGCATAATTATGGGCATGGAGCGTTGCATGTTGCGCGTTGCTCGTCGCGAATGTTGCAATTTGCAATTTTCATGCGCAAACGTAATTAAAATTATTTTTAATTTACATAAATGCACACGCCCAAACATTAAAATTCGACCTATGTTTGCCTCTATTCATCGACATTGGATATTCATTTTTAGCCACGGCCGAAAAACCATCAACAAATTGTCAGCGAATTGATTTCCCTAAAAATTCTGCTCTGAATATCCATGTTTACACTAAAGCCAAAATGCATGTGGTTTCACAATTTCGGTATATATCTGATACGGTTTGTATGCATACAAGTCTGCGTGTGTGTGTGTTTACGTGAAGCGATTATGCGACTTTAAATAATTAGGCTTTACAAAAGCATGACCAATCTAAACAAATTGATTTTTGAAAAATGCTAAATTAATTTTGTGCTGAACTCTTAATAGTCAATTATATTTTTGAATGGAAAATGTTCCACATTTGGTAGGAAATTATTTACATATTTAGCGTAGCTTTCATAAACCAAAACCAAAATTAACATCGACTATTGTTTCAATAAGACAACTGTTTGCCTTGCTTGAATGTAATCAAACAGTATCTCTCCAAGAAAATAAAATTATTGAAATATATAAATATAAAAGAAATAAAGAAACAAATTTAGCAAAAATATTAAATGAACATTTACAGCTTCGTCGTGCGGGAATACTGAGCATTGAGTGACCGCATCTTAGAGCTGTGTCCTCTCTGGTTACACTGCATATAGTGAGTGCGTATGTAGATCGTGTAGGACGTATCCGGCTGAGCAGTGAGTCGCAGCTCGTGTGCGCTGTCCGCACTGCAGTCGCTGACGAACAATTCGAATTGGCAGTAGAAGCAGCGGAGCAACTGCTGCTTGCCACGGAATCGAATGTTGCCACAAGCGCTGCGCCGGCACAGGCGACAAGTGTACGTACAGCTGGCAGCGCAGTCGCTAATCAAAGGCAGCTGAGGCAGCAAGGACTTGGCACGGTATGCCCTAAGTGAATTACGAGAGTAGCTAATTAGAATAGCAAATGATTGTTGCACCTACCACTTGCACGTGTTAAGGCCATGCGCCATTTCTCCATTGTAGACAAAGGCTGCTGCATGGCACATCTCATGCAGTAGCGTTTCAACAAGTGCGCCTGTCTCTCGTATATGCGGAGAGAGCTTGAACCGTGCTCGGCGCCTTAAGTCAGTTCCAATGCTCAGCACACAGCAGCCGGGTTGTCTTCTAAGCTGCTGCCACTCAATCCTCTGCCGCAGGCCACAATGGAAGATCAAGTGATTGAGCAGGCCAAACAAAGACTTGGCCAGAGCTGCTTTGCAGTTGTCAAAGCTCTGCTGGCGATAGGTAAGCGAAAGTGGATGACACATGGATAGAGGTGTCTCCGCTGCAGAAACAATCTCAGCCCAACTCAATATTCTTCGAAATAGTTACTCACGACTTAGAGAGCTGAGAAAACTATAGCAGTATAGGTCCTGCTCTTGCTTCTGGATTTGTTCCACCTGTGCTTTATGCTCGCGACAGATTCGAGTGCGTTGCTCCTCGTCGGGCAGCTCACTCAGATCGATTGGCTCTTTGAGCTGCCTCGGTGTTTGCTGCTGAAAGTAGTTAGCATTGAGACGCTGTACATTTTCCACAAATAGTTTCTGCTTAAGCGAAGGCAATAACTTCAGCTCCAGCCCTACGCGAGACAATAGTTGTCGCTCGAGCTTTGGTAGCTCTGGCCTCACGTCCTTATCCTGCACCACATCATTGTCTTCTAAGTCGTCAAATGCTTCCCAAGGAGTATAAAGTAGACGGCGTGCCTGATTGAGTCCCAGAAAAGTGTCCAGGCGCTTTTTCAGTTCAATATCTTCATCGACTGCAGCTGCAGCTACTGGTTCACTGCATACAATGGCTGTTGGCTGACTTAAGTCCAGATAGATCAGTAGAGCAGATTTGCTAATTTCCTGTCTGCTGACAACTGCTTTTGCTATAGCTGTTGATTCTTTAGTTTCCTGCCTTTCAATCCTTGCACGCGAACGCAGAACTCGATCACTGCATGATGTTGGAATGAATCCGGATTTGGGGCACTTCCTTGGTTTCAATTGAGCATCTAAAAAATTAATTCATTTTAATGCTGATTATGTTAACTAAGGCAATTCCATCGGCTGTACAACTTGCCCATTTTGCATAGCCTGAATTCATTTTCTTGTTCGTTTATTTATTTAAAAAATATTCAATTTGACACAACTGTATTCTAAGAGCTTAAAATATAGCAGTCAATCTCGCATGCTCTGCTTTAATTTGAATTCTCGATCTATTTATATTCTTAGCATGTTTCAATGGCCACTTTCCATGAAATTAGATGTACACTTAATAGATCAGACAACTAATTCCAAGCTATTTACAAAAGCCTTCCCAAACAGAAATGCCCTTTAAAGATGCCCCAATGATGACCGCAACACTGGAGTTTATGATTATAATAGGGGATTATTTCATTAAACGGCTAATAACACTTCAGTGTTGCGCTTCTAGCTATTACTTATTAATGCTGCTAGCTTATCTGAATGTATATTTTCATACACTTATATATAAATGAATGACTGTGTAGCTTTCTATGCATGTATATATATGTATATATTTTAGAGCACATAATTTAAATATGTGCACAACTTGAAGCCAAGGAAGGCAGGTAGCTTTTTAAGTACCTGCAGCAGATCCTTGAAAGAGCCCGCACGGCGCACAAAGCATTCTCCGAGCAGTCCTCTATATGGAAAACCACCGGCATATATATATATATATAAATGTTATATAAATATGTGGCCTGCTATACTCTATCATAAAAGTATAAGCGCTCGCTTCCAGAAAAATGAAAATGCTAAACAAAGAAAATAAAAGCGAACACCGCCACGAAAAAAAAACTAAAAAGAAATATGCCGCTGCAGAGAGTAGGCGTGTGAGAGATAGAGAGAGTGGGGAAATGGAGAAGTGATGAAGTGGCGGAGCAGGAGGCGGCATAGTGTTGCACTGGCTACGCCAGGGCAGTCATGGCATTATTTTGTATTACAGCGACTCTATGGCTGACCCCCGAGCTCAGCTTGTATTGCAATTTTTCAATTTCAAAAACAATTTTGCTCTGCCAACATACGTGTGGTCAAAGATAAGCTCTGTAAATATATAAAAAAAAAAATAACAACAACAAAAAGCGCGCAATAAAACCAAAATGGCTGCAAACCAAAGCGAACCGCAGCTCAAGCAGCTACTACAGCAGATCAAAAATGGGCAAAGCCAGAAAGGCGGTCAAAAAAAACGAAGCACACAGATTCACACACGCACATACATATAGAAAACACTATGACCAAAAGGCCAAAATATTCGTTGTGGGTGGTGCTGGTGGTGCTGCAGATGGTCGTGCATGATATTGTGCAAAGGCTGGCAGCAACTACCAGCGGGACATGCCACACAATGAATTGTGTTGTCCAGCATTTAGTCCTGCTACACATATACATACATACGTATACATATACATATACATATACATATACATATATTTATATATATGTATATAAATAATAAAAAAAAAGAAAAAAGGCGACCCGCTGCGCTCGAGTCGAGTTAGGGGCGGGCAAAGAAAGTGGAACAGCAAAGCTCAATTGACCTGCTGCAGGGCGTTGTTGTAGGTGCAGATGACTCGCTCACTTGGCCTCTTTATGAAGCTCCTTTTGATTTAGATTCAGTTTTCATGCCTCAGCATTTTAGTGGGCGATAACTGGGGGCAGGTGCCTCTCAGCACAAAGCTTATAAAAGCCATTTATGGTCGTGTTTCGTGTTTCAATTGCAGGCTGAATTCGAGCTCCATGAGAAAGCTAATTGCGGCTGAATCAACTGACAAGTTCAAGTCTTGTTGGCTTCAAATATAAATGCACAGCATGAGGTAATTAGTATATATAACTTGTGGGATTGTGAAGTAATCATTTCAATGAAAATTAGTCCTAAGTATTTGCCATTTCATCAACAATTGTACTATTTTAAATTCATATCAAATATCTAATATTTATTTAAAAATATATTTTAATAATTTATGTAAAAGCAAGTTATAGTTTGTAAATATTTAAATTCATACCTCCCACATTGTAACATAACAGAGAATAATATTTTTCAGCCTGGAAATGCAGAAAGAATTCTATGTAGTCCAAACTTGTTCACAAATTGATTATGAGCTTTCAATATCGATAATTCGCTGTAGTTCATAGTTTTCTTTTGCTTATTCATTTGAGAATTTTCCATTTATATAATCTGACATTTTCAAGCTTTACTCGCTTTCGGTACTGATTTGCCATGCAACTCGCATATTTCTCAGAAAGCGATTTCCAATAGGTGCCACATCAATGCCGCACATGCATGCTTAGCTCTCAGCACGCACACATAAACGCAGAAGCCAATGCAATACAAATTGTGGAGAATTTTGGAGTAGAGCACGCTACATATAAAAACCAAAGCCAAGACATAACTTCAGCTTGCTGCAGCGATAACAATTATTGCAGCGACTGCTGCAGTTGGCACGCCCTGACCACACGCACAAATGCAGCAGCAGCAGCAGGGGCAGTAACATCAACTGTAACGACAACATCAAGCCAACTTACCACAGCTCAAACTGTATTAATGCTTGTGGCTGACGCAATGCGTCTTAGTTATTATGGAAGCAGCTTGTGGTGGTGGTGAAGCAGGAGGACCGTTGCCTAAGGCGACAGCTTTACTGTCAAGCATGAGGACTTGCACTGAGCGTGAAAAGTTGCAATTAGCAGCAGCTGTCAACACCAATGCATTGTGGCTAGTTAATGCATAATATTCACTGACGCAACAGGACGTCTGCCTACTACATATATTCGTAGTGAAACCTCTGTTGAGCTTATCTATTCAACAGATATTAATTTAATTAATTCGAACTAATATATGAAAGTTTGAAATGTACATGAGACATCTCTTGTAGAGTTCGTAATTTAAATTCTTAATAAGCTTTGCTTCGTAATTTATTTGTATCTTTGGCAACTAAATTATAATCAAATCGGCTGCTAAAACAAGCTCCCAGTTTTCAATGAAAAACTCCAATTTGTTACAGTTGAAATTCGTGAATTTTGTGGTAGTTGAAAAGTGCGTATGCTTAATGTGGCTTTAGCTCAAGTACATTGGCAAAAGCTGCGCAACACACTATATGCCAAGCGCAAGTTGCAAGCGGCAACGGCAAGGTGGCAACGGCAATAACACAAACCGCAAATCCCCAAGCCTTTATAACATTTCTCAAACATTGCCATAGAAAGCTGGGTGATGCGATGCGAGGCGAGGTGGTGCGTGGCAAGGGCAAGCCGCATAAGCCGCTAACAGCCACAAGCCAAGCCGAACGAAGCCAAGCAGAGCAATGCAAACAAAAGCTTTGCAACAGGAGCAATACAATAGCGAAAAAAATACACATACACATACGCACGCAGAGGAAATGGCAAATGCGATTGCGAAATGCGAGCAAGCCGAAAGCAAATCAAAGCGAATGCAATACTCAATTGCTATTATCGAAAACGCACAAAGCAACAACAATTGCAGCTGCTGCCTTTTCAAAACAGTAAATTGCCTTTTTCCTTAAGGAAATGCAGTAAAACCCTAAGTAAAGCCCCCTGCAGCGTCCTTCATCTCCCTCGCTCTGTCTTTAGTCGTCTCTTACACTCTTTGTCCCTCTTCGGTTCTGCTTTTTTATATTAAAAACCGCGTAATAGAGTGCAACTTACTGCCTGTGCATTTGGGCTGTCGCTTTGTGTGTGCAAATCTGAGGAAACGCAATGAAAATGTAATAAAAACGCCAATGAAGCTTCCATGCAGGGCCCGGCATTGCCTAACCGCTCAGTGATTTCAAAACCAGCAGACGACTGAAGGTTTCAACTCAAATATCAATCGGCTGCTCGTTGCACGCTTTCAAAGTTATTAACTAGAGATTTCAGCACAAGGCGAAAAGCAGCCCAATTCCGCAACCAATTCAATCACAGCCTCAACCAAAGGGCAGTTTCAATTTGTAGTTGTATGAAAAGCGTTTCACAAAATTCAACTGCCAGCCCTCGAGCAGGTCGGCTGGTTGTCTGGTGCCTTTCCATATTACAGTTGAGCTTATGCTTTGGCTACTTGTCCACCCAATGGCCTATTAATTCTAACGATATATTTTCGATCAAATATTAAATGCCTTCACTCAATTCTTACTTTTCGCAAACAAAACAGGTGATAGGCAGTGCATTTAAGTATGAAATATTTATAAAGCTTAGGATTAATTTAAGAAAATTTTTTTTCTCCCACATATAGTTGACTTATTTCTCAATAATTTACCTTTCAACTCACGTCAATGAATGCCAGTAAAAATAATTTATATAAAACAGTAATATTATTTTAAAAAAAAAAAGATATTTATATGTGAATAATATTTTAAATATAATATTTACGACGTGCAACCACTTTAAGTATTTCAGCGCGTATTTAGTATGTTTCAGCGGGTATATGGAGCGCTCCTCTGCATATCAGCACTAAGCAGCCTACGAGAAACAAACTTAAACGAAAATTCAGGCGAAAAATGAGTTAAGCACCTGACGTCTTGTCTCGAGTAAGAGAAAAAAACTAAGCGCTTGCTAGCTTTTTTAATTTGAAAAAATTGTCAAGCATCAAAATACTTTTAGAGCTTGGCAGGCAGGCGGCCAGGACATGCTCGCAACGCGTCCAAGGAGTTGAAATCGTAGTCAAACACCGCCAGGTCGTTGTCAGCGTTCGCGTGCTGTGCGTGCAAATAAATGAAATAAATTATGAAAACGTAAAAGGTAAGGTAAAGTGAGAGAAATGTCATTCGTCGCTCGGTTCTAACTGCTGGCCTATTCACATGAGTCGCTATAAAAAAGAGTACAATTTTTGTTGCCAGCGAAAAGAGAAGAAAGGGAGAGGCAGCCGCAGCAGCCGAGCAGCATAAAAAGTAGCAACAGCTACAACAAACAGTAACATCATAATCAGCAAAAAATATTAATGGAGTTTTCATGTTTATAATGTCATTAGCTCACAAATGCGGCGGATGCGGTTGCTGCTGTTGCTGCTGCTGTCGTTGCTGTTGCACATGTGCCATGATTCCCTGCCACATATTTTGTATGTGATTTTTTTTCATTCGGCTCTGCTGCTGTTGCTGCTGCTGCTTCACGCTTACAAGGAGACGCCCATAAACATGCAACTCGCACACACACATACACACTC